CATCTGCAACCTTATCGACGCGGTCTCCAATCCTCCTCTCCCTCCTCTCTTTTTCTCTCTCTCTCTTTCTCTCCCCCTGCTTCACGGTCCTTGGCGATAAACTTTTTCAGTACTAACCTAGTATAAGCCAGCCGTTCAAATATTAATCGACAATGCGTGGCCGCACCTGAATTTACACAATCGATCGACCGATCAACCGATCCGCTGATTGTGACAAATTTACCAAAGTTTTCTTCTCCCCTCCCTCTCCCATATTAGTTTCTTCTCTCCCCAAGGATAGATACTAACGAAAAAGACGCAATCTCTCTGACGAAAAAAAAAAAAAAAAAACAAAACCCAGCCAGTCACGGTTTCTCATCACGGCCGATGACGAATGCTCGGCGAACATTCTTACCAGCTGAGACTCGGCCGAAACCGTGAAAAGCCTATGCGCACATACTCCATGTACACACGCATATGCGCGCGATCGCGATCCGATATATTTCTTATTCTTTTCCCGGTGAACACGCGGTCTCTCGACGCACACTTGCATGTAAACGCGCGCGCGCGCATTCAATACGGTGGTGTCGCCGAAATCCGTTTGTGGAAGGTCACGCACGCTCAAGTACGTCGTTCTTCGTTCCCGTAATTATTCACCATTAGCGGAGAGGGCGACTCCTATATCACCTTAAACGATGTAATCGCGCCATTACGTCGACGTGAGCAGCCAGCTCCGTCTCTCGACGCACGTCGCTTATAGTGCGATGATTCTCGATATAGATCGTTATAGGTACTCTCATTTCTCGTCTAACGTTTTGTAGTAGTTAAAACTTGTAATATCGTAACGCTATAACTTGACATCCTAATTCTCTCTCGTGTCTTTTTTTCCACTTTTCACTTAATTAAACGTTATAGATAATTTCATTGTTAACCCTCCGGAGTTGACGATGGGGTCTATTGAACCTATTCAATTATGTCCCTGCAGAGGAATTGATGGTGGTCTATTAGATCTACTAAATTCTATATTCTTTAGATGTTATATACAGTACCGGTCCGAATTATATCACCTTTCGATTTTTTTTTAGCATAACTTTTGTCAAAGTGAATCGAATGCGCTCAAATTTATACAGCCACTTGGTGGCAGGTGTATCTTGTACGTAAAGTATAATGAGATTTTTGACAATGTACACCATGATTTTTTAATTTTTTACTAATTTTTCACTTTGACAAAAGTTATACTAAAAAAATCGAAAGGTGATATAATTTTGACCGGTATACCGTATGTATATGTTACATCTATAAATTTGAATCATTGTTATTAAAATAAATTTAGTATTCACATACACACACACACACACGCACGCACGCACGCGCGCGTACGCACACACACACACACACACACACACACACACACACACACACACATTTTTTCATACACTGGAAAGTCTGGTTGCATTAATTGAAATTCTCTCTGGTTGAAAATGGACAAATTAAAATTTTCTGGATGATCTATTATAATTCTATAATTCTAATTGAGATAATTAGAAGTCTGACTGATATGACATATCACAATCTTCTGGTTCATTTTTAACCAGAAATTTTTCCCAATGTACGAGTTATGCCATTTTGATTCCCTCAAATTAATTAATACCTTTTAGTCAATATAAATTAAATAGGTCTTAAGCCCAATTTATATGAGACGCAGAACGCGGGTCGCAGGTCGCAAAACTAGAAACTAATCTATTTTAATTATATATCGTATTTTAATTATAATAGGTATGTAGGATGCAGAACGTAAGACGCGGGAAGTTGGGTGAACTTCAACTTTCGCATTCTGCGTCTTGCGTCCTACGTATTGCGGACTGCGATCTATTAAGGTCCAGCTACAATGAAGAATTTTAGGCCGTAACAGTCGTAAGAAACATATTTCCGGTTTAGTAGGTCGCAACTGTAGTCATAAGCGAAATGAACCATTTCCATTTCGGTACTGCCTACGGCTTACGACAAGCGTCTTGCGTCATTTTGAGGCTGTGTTTGACGACGATTTTCAGTATTATCAGTGAATCAGTGAATTTATAACTGTTGCAACTGCCGAGAAAACTCGATCACTATTTTGCATGTAACCTCAAACAGTGTATTTTCTGATTGACTTTATGTCGTAGCTGCCGCTACGTTGTCTTCATTGTAGACAGACGTGGTTGTAGAAATTGTGCTACTGCTTGCGTCTTACTACATTACTGCCTACTGCTAATTATATTGTAGCTGGACCTTTACAATCTGAAATACGTTTCACTTGCGATCTGCGACCTGCGCTCTTTGTCGTATGTAAATCGGGCTTTACAGACCTGTCAACAAAGCCTGTTACAAAATTTAACGTCAACAAAGCCTGTTACAAAATTTAACGTCAGCTCCGGATGGTTAAGAGTGCATCGTTTTGCAAATACAGAAAAAAGCAAATGATTAGACCTATCACATCCTCTTTTACGATATATGTATATGTATGTATACGAAAGATCAGGGAAAATTCCGAAAATCAAAATTACGAGACATAATTTCCGGCGCATTATCGATCGCAGTCATATTGTGTATTCCTTCTTTTCTCTTTTCTTTCCTTCATCATACCTACGTATGTGATAATCGTCACGGCACCGTATCGGCGATATCATGTCGCGTATATTGATTTTATATTGCAAAACGTTAACATGGGGAGGACAGACAACGTTAACAACACATCGATACGCAGCCCAACCCGTTCAATCGAGCGATACAAGCACTTCAACGATCGATTATCGAGAAATCAGCAACACTTATGTCAACGACACTCAAAGCATCGGCGTTGATCATTCAACACCTGATCGGGAAACTGGCAGATGCGATACGTATACATAAACGTCGAGGGCGCGTCGTTGGTCTCCTTCCTTCCTTTTAGGCCCGACGATGCACCCTCTCGGGGTATCGCACAAACCGGGGTGATGATCTCGCGGGCGCGGCACGAATATTGCACAGTGATGCCAAACTCTGGTACATTTCATTCAATTTCTTTTTACGTCAATTGCGTTCGTGTATACATTGTTATGCTGATGGTAATAACGGCGGTTCGATGTTGGAGCGAATATATCTGCTGCGGCCAGCGTGAATTTTTCGCGCGAGTCGATAAAATTGTCGTTAGCTCAAAGGCGTCGCTCTGCCCACGTAACTACGCTCTTCATTCAATTGCCTCGATTACAGAAAAAAAAAACGAAAAAAAAATTAGCAGGTATACAAGGTGTCTCGGAAAGAAATTTCTCTGAGTGAACAACTTAACTCTTTTACAATATTTACATGTATGATTTTTAGATACCTCGTTCAATGTAAGTCAAAATTGTTTTGTAGAAAAACTTTTTGGCAAGTATGATAGTTTCGATATGTATCTGAAAAACATATTTCTCTCAAAGATTACAGTCACGATTAAAAATTAGTTATTCGAAAATCTTCTAGTAATAACAACAATATGAAAACGCCATATGTCAATGATAGTAATATAATTGATATATTCTTGATGTAGGTGTTCTACTCTATTCAGATGCTTGTAACTTTTGGCCCTATATTACAAATACTTTATTTGAAACGATCTGATTTTTAAATTCTGCATATTTCTCCCGAAATATCTTACACTCATATCGCTTCCTTACTTCAAAAGTGATAAAAAATTAAGTTTTCCAGAGAAAAAGAGACTATTTTTCAATTTGAAAAAAATTATTGATTGATGAAATAGTATCGGCGAAAAGAACATGTATATTCTAATATAATCAAATGTCATTTTTATCAGTTCCGTTTCACAAACCTTAAAAAAAGAACGTTTTTTGTGTTGTGATTATTTTGACGATTTTTTTTTGTAAACCACTTTTTTTAGTTGTACACACACACACACACACACTCTATTTGAAGTTTTTTTTTATGAAGTTAAATTAGTTCACTTTTGATGATTGATAGAGTAACGTTTACTTATCTCATTCATAGTAATAACTCGAAAATCACGTTTTTTTAGTTGTGTCACTTTTGAAATAAGGGAGCGATTTGAAACATAAATAGATAAATATCGATATTATATCTACATTTTTATTGAACGTATAAAATTTACAAGTAAAAGTAATTACTTTTATATAATATCTGCAAAGTATATAGATATATTTATATTAACATATCAAACGCAACGTGGTATATAACGTTTTCGATACATAACATAATAAAGCACTTGTGAAACGTGCCAGCGCGCGGATTCATCTTTTATACAGAATCTAGATAAACGTCATAACGAATTCAATCGCAATTCATATTTATGTATTTGAGCGTATCGACGTATCGGTTAACGAGCGTAAGTTACAATCGGCAAGCGTGCCTGTATGCCAAATTTTGCAAGAACGATACGACAGGGAGAAGTTGGCGAAATTCCGAGAATTACGTTTTCGAGCTCGGCTGTAAGATTACGATTACCGAGCTCGGCCGTATCTCGCTCGAAGCCGTGGAGCGCGTAGCACGTGCTCCGCATAGTATATGATTTTTATGATATGCAAAATGTAGGCGATTCGTAAATGGTGCCGTATAGTAATGATGATATCGATGATTTTGGAACGCATGCCAATTAGAAAAGATTTAATAATCTTCCAAGCAGATAGTAGTGCTCTTTCACCGCAACCAGTAAACATTTTCATTCTTATAATTTGTGATTTGTGGTTAGTTTGATATAACTGCACAAGTCCTTTTAGTTACTTTTATTAGAGCGAACCGCTACATCGCGTACGATCGAGGTCTGTCGCGATGTATCGACTGTCAGTGGAAGAATAATAAAGTAGCGCAGAGTGCCCTTAAAAAAATCAAAAGAACGCACATTGAACGCACGTTTCTACGGGCGCGCGCGTGTTAACGAGTGCCACATATACAGCGGGAGCGTGATATCGATTACCTCGATTTCAGCGATCGATCAAGCAATTCTAATGATTTCAAAAGGGCAGAGAGCTAAAAAAAAGATTCAAGTTCCTTACCTTGCGAAGTGCCCGCTAGATCCGGTGTCTGCAAGCCATGGCCCAACCCTGGAAATTTCACTATCGTCACACGTAGCAACGGCAATGCTATCGCGCATAGAAACTCAACAATGGCCTGTACGCAATTTCGCAATTAAAAACGAAAAACGCATAGTGGTGCAGACGAGGGTGGTGCGAACAAAACTTAACCGCGCGAAAGCAGAAGCTACGCCAAGAGCCGAAGACTCCAGTCGCACAGACGATGCGTGCTCAAACAAAAAAAGTCTACCAATCAAGCCAACGAAAACAACCGAATATATCTTTCTTAAAAGGCAAAACGAAACTAACTCAGGCAGTGTTGGCAGTAGTCAACATTCGATTCGAACCGTGACTTTTAATTCTACAAACGTGCACATAGTGAGAAATACCGCGATCGGACAGTCACGGAGAAACCGTGTGCGCTGGAGCGACGATCAATCGCGTACGATCAACCCTTAAGTGCAGAAGATTAAAACATACATATAACGATAAATACATACAACGACACGTAATTGCATTTTCCAAAAAATTTAGATTCGATCCTTCTTATTCACGAGATCTACCTCAGATTGGGTAGAAAAAAAAGATAGTCCAGGATTAATATAAATCAAGCAATCATTGGTGCACTTAAGGGTCAAAGGGTGAGCGCGGCCCTCGGAAGGGCCGCGAATTGGTCTGTGCGTACAGGCCCGCCTTGGGGTCTGGCGTCCCTTCACGTACCTGACAACGGCGTGTGGTCGGTGGTGAGCGCCGCCATACTAAAGTTGAAGCTGCCAGGCGTCGAGGTGAAGAGCTTGCTCTCCGGCAGGAAATTCTGCGCGGACGTGTGCTCCGGTTCGGGCTCGTGCTCGTTGCTGCTCGCGGACGCGGGCGGCCGGTCCGACGCCGCGGCGCCGGAATCCGACGAGTCCTCGTTGCCGGCGTTGCCGCCGCCGTTACCGCCGGTCAACTCCAATGGCTCGCACTTTATATTCTCCTCGACGAGGCTGTTCTCGTCGTGCACCCCGTTGCCCTCCACCTTCGTCGACAGGTGGTTGTTCTTGACCATCGAGAAGTCCGTCGGCGTAGCGTCGTTGTTGTTGAGCGGCGGCGACGGCACCCGCGGTCTCTTCGCCGACTCATCGTGCGGATCCGGGGTGCGTCTCTCGTTTCGACGTATCTGGGCACGGCGCAGGAGTTGCTGCACTGTGGTCGGCGTCGGGGTCACAGGCGTAGGCGAGCCGCCGCCGCCGCGAGGGAAAGTCTCCTCCGACTTCTCGTGGAACGGCAGGTGATTGCCGCCGGCCGCCAACGCGCGGACATGCGACAGCTGGAAACAAAAACGAAACGGCAATGGTATTAATTATACAGACTACGGTACATAAACACGCACGCACACGCCACTCCTACACCCTAGCTCTCGGATCGGCTATAATTATTGAGACCATCGCGATACGCGAGCCGAATTTGTCGTTTAATCGATCGATAAATCGTTCCGCCGAAAATGATAGTTCGGCTGAGTGTGCGGCCAGCAAATTGAAGAGTCTCGCGACGTTGCGACGCCACATCGATATTCGATACTTTACATTTACGGTGAATATCCGATTTTCGATTTATAGTGCAAGCCGCTTTATCTTTATTTGCTTGACCTATGACAATTGGAATCAAGATAGACGTGCTCAATATCGAGATAATGAGGGGGAAGAGGCGCCGAAGTAACGGCGTCTAACGGCGATAACGTGCAAGGTACACTGGAGCTTTCGAAAGATATGCGCGAGCTACATGACGTTATGTGGTCAAATACCCGTGTTTGTATCGCGCACGCGAGGCGTGCAGACACTCACTCATACGCGCGCGCGCGTCAAACGCGCGTTTACACGCGTTTTTACCAAACCGTACGTAATTACGGTGTGCTCAATTTCAAATGTGCTACAGACACGGTCAAGAAAATTGGAACGAAGATAGAATCTTACGCCAGCTGTTGCATCTCCATTGTCACTCGTAAACGCAGCGAGCACAACGTTCTCACGTGCCTGCAGCATCAAAGTCCGAAACTCACCGGAATTACTCCGCTTTCAGTTTCCCTTAACCCCCCCCCCTACCCCATAATTGCATTCGAAAAAAAACGTACCTCATCTCTGTCGGTTTGGTCGGTCTGTTGCGTGAGGCCCGATACCCTGAGGACCTCCGCCGTCTTCAGAAAACTACTGAGAGAACGTTGATGCACGTTTACTTCGCCATGATATATAAACTCCACTAAGGCATGCAAGTCGCTGAACGCTACATCCTGGAGCACTATCACTGGGTGTTTGCACGGTGTGCTCTGAAACGGTGCAACGTTCATTGCGCATAATCATTAGGCGATGACGAATGAATTCTTTCTAATATTCATTTCTACTGTAGATTTACTTTAATCTCGATTTAGCTCACTTTTTATTATCTTCTTTTAGTTGTAAGAATCAGGAAAACATAAAAAGTAAATGAAATCTAAATTAAAGTTGATCTATATATTGATAGAAATGGTCCTAAGACTTTTAAATTGATTTTATCTACTTGCAAGCAAATCCGCTCCGAAATTCACGTGAATCGTGAACCGGAAGGTCTTCGCTGGCATTAAAGGCGGGAATAAGGGAGACGGTGGGGGAGAGGTGAATCTTACCTTGAGCAATTCTCTGAAGTACGGACTACAGGCAGAGAGAACGACGCGATGCGCTTTCAGGCTCTTGCCGTCGCAGGCCAGCGTCACGTCCACGAAGTCCTCATCGTCCCGCAGATTTTCAAACGCCGAGGTTATGCTGCTCTGGTAATTGTTCCATCGCAGACAAAAATGTTGTGTATCTACCATCGTTGTGTCTATTCACCTGCAATTAAAAGTAACGCCTTGCTGCCACCGACTGGACGACACAACCGTCACTTAAGATCTAAACGCGATGCCCGATCGGCTGCGCCGCTTAAACTAACGTGACGGGTGCGCGCGCGCGCTCGCATAATTAAGATTTTCGACTACAAGCCGTTCCTAGGGCACGACTCGCGCCGATAAGCTTGCAAACTGATAATTTTAGATAAGTCCAATTTCGACATTCGAAAACACAATTGCAACGTGTATACACATTCGATACTGATAGCAAATCGCAATTGCATGTGTACGACAATATTCCTGATAAACCCCGGAGATTGACTATAAAAAGAGAACGTTGAAAAAGAAAAAAATAACACACAACAGTTAGATGCATGAGAATTTATGTTTATATTGCGTCATGCATATTTAATTTAACTTATACTATCTACTCAACTTGCGTCATTTTTTACAACGATAATAAAATTTGGTATTAAAGTTTTTTCTGCAGCGCAGAGAAAAATTAAATCATCAGCAACAAAAAGTATTTTCTGGTCAGCCATCGATTCGCCACAAGTAAATTTATTACAGATAGCTCAAAGTTTCCTGAGACTCGAGTCAATCTTAAGAAACAAAAGATGTGTGTGTGTGTGTGTGTGTGTGTGTGTGTGTTGAGGCGCATGATTTACGTAGAAACGTAAACGACAAAAAGTCCACTACATCGAGAAACGGTGAGATGTTTTCACGTTCCTTTACTCCAAAATGTCCGCATACGTGATAATCCGAAAACTTTCTTGCGAAAGACGCGTTCATTAATCGGTAATGCGTAGCGACACAATGAATTGGATTCTATCGAAGAAATGGAGAAATGGCGTATAGATAAAACTTACCGCGGCGCGAGAAGGAGAGACATGCGTTTTATTTGCCCAATTGCGCAGAAAGAGGAGGTGAGGGACGGTGTGATCGCGAGAATAAAGCCTAAGAGAGAGAAGCACCGTATGCAATTCGCCGCTTTGCCATACGGGAAAATTAGGTCGTCAAGCTGGAGCCAATTCAGCACGTTGATTAAATAATTCTCCGCTACTTATAAAAGCGGGAGCACTAAATGTGCGCTGATAGTGTTATCTTAGCGTAATGATAAAAAAAAAACGAAAGATCTTAAAACAAATTTACAGAGCTTGTTTTCTCGCGCGAGTGTGCCAGCGCGTTGAGAAAAAAAAGCCGAGGGACGTTCAACGAGTTTCACAGCGAAAGACGTTTGTTTTGACGCTTTTCAACGCACAAAGGTTTATTAGCGAAATTGGAACCGATAACTATCGTCGTCGCTACATTTTGCCGCTTCGACAAATAATAACAAAATCTGCATAACAGATTCGCAAATCCATTTACACCATCAAGTACCGTACGTGTATTGGAACTCTGTTATAAAATTTTGAATTTCAATCGTTTCCGGTTTCGCATTTTTCCCATTGCATGACAAAAGGAGATAAGTGAAATACGAAACGATGCTGCGCAAAGAAAAGTGACTCGACAAGTGAGAAACGCTTGTGTATCTCCTTCCCTTTAAATCGCATACCGATGTAGAAACTGCTCACTTTGAGTTTCTATATATCTAGGGTCGCGCTATCTCGTTCTGCTAAATTTATGTGTGACGAATCCGCGAGATAACTTCGCCAGGGTACATTGTTTGATAACACACAAAAAAAGGTCGTCTCGTATGATTCGACTGGTGGAGCCAAAAAAAAAAAAAGAAAAGCAACAAATTTCGGGCTATCGGCCACTCTCGCGCGCTCTGTTGCCGGCGGTATCGCCGGCACGAGCAACGCAGTTACTATTTGCACAATTTCGCGCGCGCACAGTCGGTCCACGAGATGACCGCGGGGAGATTACGCGAGCGGGAAATCTGTGAGTTTCGAAAATTAGCATGTGTCACACGTTATATATACCACACTCCCGGCGAAATGCCGGTCGGCTGAGAAAGAGACACACACACACACACACACACACACACATACACACACAACACATGCGCGATCGACGGATCGAGATCTCTCCCAATACAATACCTTCACTACACACATACACTAAGTTGTACTCTCGTACGATGTGTACAGTTTCTAAGGCACGCTCGGCCGGCAACGGGAATCACAGTTTGCCAAGTGCGAACGCGTTATCGCGAGGTAACACCTATCAGCCGTCATGCCGCGTAAGCTAATGACCGAAACAATGAACCGAACACGACGACGATGGGGCGACACTGCGTGCGTGCGTGCGTGCGTGCGTGCGTGCGTGCGTGCGTGCGTGCGTGCGTGCGTGCGTGCGTGCGTGCGTGCGTGCGTGCGTGCGTGCGTGCGTGCGTGCGTGCGTGCGTGCGTGCGTGCGTGCGTGCGTGCGTGCGTGCGTGCGTGCGTGCGTGCGTGCGTGCGTGCGTGCGTGCGTGCGTGCGTGCGTGCGTGCGTGCGTGCGTGCGTGCGTGCGTGCGCGTATGCATGCGTGAATGAGTGAGTGAGTGAGTGAGTGAGTAAGTGAGTGAGTGAGTGAGTGAGTGCGAGTGAGTGCGTGAGTGCGTGAGTGAGTGAGTGAGTGAGTGAGTGAGTGAGTGAGTGAGTGAGTGAGCGAGCGAGTGAGTGAGTGAGCGAGTGAGTGAGTGAGTGAGTGAGTGAGTGCGTGCGTGAGTGAGTGAGTGAGTGAGTGAGTGAGTGAGTGAGTGAGTGAGTGCGTGCGTGCGGGCAGTCAGCGGGCTTGCGTGTTTCTCCGGGCGAAAGGAGAAGTGAAGTATAACACTAGACACACGCGACGAAAAAAATCGTTCACGCATTCGCACGGTGATTCCTTTCGTGTCGAGACGCAAGTTCCGTCCGAGAGATCGCGATCGATCCGAACGATCCCGCCGTGACATCCGCGTGATCGACACGTACGTTAAATGGAATAGAGAGGAATTCTCGGCCGTGAATCCCCGTTGTCCGCGAAAAAAAAACGAAGCGAACGTTTTGCGCGAGCGAGCGAACAAGGGTGCGAGGATATCAGTAAATACACTTTCAAATAAATACTAAACGATTTTGTCGTTCCTTCCTTCCTGCGCGTGGATCATCCTCCTACCCCTCCGCTCCCTCTCATCGCGCGCACCAACCACCACCACCGCCCCCACGCTACCGCCGCCGCCCGAACTGTCGGCCACACCGAAAGTGATCGCGATCGAACGAGGACGGCGCAGTGCGCGCGCGAGACGGAGAGAGAGATAGGCGGAGACAGAGGCGGGACGGAGAGAACGAGAAAGATGATCGAGCGCGCCGCGACTTTCGCGTTTGCCGCGCGCGCGAAATCCGTGTTTCATCCGCGTAAATCCGGATACCCGGATCGTCGCGCGTTCGGCAGGTTATATGGTGCGACTTAATAAGAAAAGATCGCGCGATCAAAGAGAGAAACGACCGGAGAGAATCACCGGTACAACACGGCGGCAGTGGCGGTGGCGACGACGACGAGGACGAGGACACGGCGGAGGCGGCAGCGACGACGACGACGACGACACGCGCGAAATCTTCTGCACCTTGACTGAGGGCGACGCGAGCGAGCAGTCACCGCAGCAGGCTCCTTCCCCGTCGCATGCCGTGTGCGAGCGAACCAACCAACCCCTAAAACGTCACGTCACGACTGTGCGACTCCGTCGCGGAGAAGGCGCCGCGCCTCCCCCCTGCGCCTCCTTCACGTCAGGGCCGGTACGTCGCGAGGCCGCACGAAAATGTACGAAAAGCCGGCGATCGTCGCCGTTATACGAGAACGGGCGCGTGCTCTTCGCGAGAGGGAGGAAGCCGAGACGGAAGAAGGAACAAGTCGCGAGAGGGAGAGAAAACACGCGTCTTGCGCCGCGCCGCGTCGCGCCGCACCTCGTCGGGGCGCGGAGAAATACGGAGGATACCGAGAAAGGATAAGCGCGAAAAAGGAAGAGGGAGAGCGAGAGAAAGAGAGACGAGTACGATTGAATGACACGCGGACCGCGAGAGGAAGATGGACGGAAGATTTGACGTGAAGGCGAATGGGGAAGGAGACTTTTTTTCATACTTGGGGGCACATCTCTAATCGATAATGTACGTTTAGAAGACGAGTGGTGCACGAGCGAGACCGAGGAGGAAAGGAAATGAAGAATGAAAAATAGCGCGACGTGTGTAACCAATGACAGGTTTCGCGAGCGACGACGCCGCGTGGGCGATAAGATGAAGACGGAAAGAAAGAAGAGACAAACACGAGGCACCGTAATCCATTCCTTATGTTCATTCAATCAATCGGAAAGGTCTGGCGGCTAATGATATGTACACAAATGCAAATTAAAATACCGAGAATTGAAATCGGTACACATTATTTCGGCTGTTTTTATTTACGTAAGAAAATCGAGTCTCGTTATGTCGAATTTTTATCGTCGTGAATAAATAAACGGCAGAACATTCTCGCAAATTTCTAGCATTGAAGTTTAGGTTTACACGAAATTATACGTTATTGTCTTGCGAATCTTGTAAAGTACAATGAAACATAAGGAAGAAATAATTATTTGATGAAGATGTAATGATAATGAAATAGTTACTTTGTTATGAAAAAGGATCGGATCAAAGCTATCGATTAAACATCGTGTTTTGATCGTTACGTTAAACTTTAAGATTAATTCAAAAACAATTACCATGTTACAGATAAAAAAAATATATCCTATATCTGTGCCATATATCTATTGACACGAATAAATATAAAAAAAAAAAATTTCGTCTTAGAAATACATTGATTTCCAATTCTAAAGTATACATTCGAGAATATAATTTTCAAGTAGCTCTTGGATCGCGCTTTATCAATCATTTTTATACGGACAATTTTTGTACGACTTTCGAATTAAAAATTTACCAGGGAAAAAATTCGCTTGGTTGTCCAATTAGCGCGAGAAAAGGAGAAGAAATGGATTGTCACAATTCTTCAAAGCGATAATAAGTAACCGAATAAAAATAACGCACGAGATATATGAAAAATCGCGGAGCGAACGTAATTGGACGAAGGTGCGATCTAAGAAATCCGAACGAGAACGATTACCTCCAATTTCCATGATGTATAGAGTTGTCGTTAGTGCAGTAAATTGCTGTTGTGCGAACGGCTCTAACGAGGCGAGATTTATTCTAGAGCGATGCGCCCGAATGCAGTCGCGAGTTAATTACCTTGTGGGGGATCTGTCAGAGAGTCGCTCTCACGTGCGTCGCCTTCCCGGTGTCGTCTCGCCGATTTCAAACCACCATCCTCCAACTTCTGGTTCCGTCTGCGGTCTGACTGTCTTCCGGTCCCTTTTCCTCCACACCGGCTGTCACTGTGTAGCACGCGGGTCGCAGTTAAATATCATCGTTCACCGACGACGCGCGGTACCAATTGACTGAATCCCGGCGGTGCCCTCGTTATCGCCGCGCCGTTTGTCTGAAAACCATCCGTTTCTTTCTCTGCGTGTTCTGCGAGGATCTTACGTGTGGGAGGGAGAGAGAAAGAGAGAAAGAGAGAGAGAAAAAGAAACAAAGTAGCGCGCGTCCAAACCGATTTACCCCCTCATTACTGGCGGTGATGGTGATGCACACCGTGCACATGTGCGTACGCATGCATCCACCCTCCCTCTCGCTCAGTCGCGCGCGTGATGCACTCAACGTGCGCGCAGACATATACTCTCTCTTTCTCTCAGCCTAAGGTACACACACATACACCCCATGCATATACGCATACGCACAAACACGCGCGCGCACGCCACATACCCACATTCGTATACGCGCACGTTGCCACGAGCTGCACATACCGCGATTGTCGAAAAAGCGGAACTTCATCCGGCTGTCTCTCTCTCTCTCTCTCTCTCTCTCTCTCTCTCTCTCTCTCTCTCTCTCTCGGTGCGAGGAGCGTAAACGAGGACCGAAAATCGCCGCACTCACGAAAAGAACACGCGCGAGACTCACGGGAAACGACCGAAAGCGAGAAGCGAGACAGACGTCTGCGAGCGGCGACGAAGGATTCTTTCTCCTCTTACTCTCACTCTGTCTCTTTCTCCGTCTCTTCCGACCGCCGGCCTCGTTTCGACCGCGAAATACGAAATGTGACCGCGAAACGATAACGATCGAGACGGCACGAGACGTTCGGACTGGGATAAACGTACCTACCACGTGTGCCAGCACAAACTTGGCGAAGGAAGGAGTAAGCACGTTCCGTCCTTACACCCCGCGACCGAAACAGCGATCCTCGGTGCAAGTTCGAGGTCGGATGGACGAGGGCACGATAGACATAATCACTGTCGCGACATTGCACGCGGCGGGGAGTAACTGCCGATTCGCGACGGCAGTGACCGGCTCGAGAACGGCTCGAAAAGCGTGGCGGCGAATTGAAAAACGGTAAAAAGGGAGGACTGGAAAGAAAGAGAGAGAGAGAGAGAGAGAAAGAGAGAGAGAGAGAGAAAAGAGAAGGAAAGAATGAGAGAGGGAAACAGAGGGAACGAGGAGCCGGAAGAAAAAAAGGAGAGACGTGCGTAACGTAAACCGGCGCGTTACAGTGACACGACGAGCCGACGAAGCACCAAGTACGGGCTGCTGTTCCCGAGCCTGGTTAGGACTAGCATGCGGGGGGAAGGCTCCCGCTTTGCCCGCCGTTATTCTTTATCGGAGCATGAGACATCTGTCGTAATAAGTGCGGACTAAAAAATAGTGCGTACGCAGAGAGAGAGCGTGAGAGTTGAAGGCGCGCGAGAACGAGAGAACCGGCCACGGGCGCCATGGTGGGAGAGGTTGATGCTTGCGGCCGCGGCGGCTGTTTCTCTCCCCGTGTACCCCGCAATCTTGGTCTCTTCCCTCTGCCACACTCTCTTTCTTTCTTTCTTTCTCTCTCTCTCTCTCTCTATCTCTATCCCTCTCCCTCCCTCCCTCCCTCCCCCTTCCCTCCCTCCGCCGGCGCACTCTACCCCGCCGTAATCAGTTCATGAGACGAAAATGCGCGTAGCCGCCGCGAGCCGAGTCCGGCCGCGAGAGCTGTAAAAATGTTGAATGCGCTCGAGGAGCCTAAAAGCGGGAGAGAGAAAGTACGTTCAACCGATCCTACGCATCCTTTCCGAACGTTCGAAAAAGAAACGACGTCTCTTTTATAATTTATTAAGATTTAATTTTCCGTCAGTCTCGACTGTCGACGCTCATTGTTCGGACGTTTCCCGGGACCTTTGG